TTCCATAGTTTCAGGAGTACTGCATGGTGGTTAGACTCTCATGTAATTGAGAAGGGATTGCCCCGTAAGTCCAGCCCCAGCCCCACCCCCCAATCACTCACCGTGATTGGATTCTCTGTACCTATGAGTTTGTTCTCTGCACCTATGAGCTTGTGTCTGTTTTGCTTGTTTATGTCACTTTTTATATCCCACGTGTAAGCGATACGTGCGGTGCTGATCTTTCCCCATCTGATCCACATCCCACAATGCCCCCCAGGCCCCTCCCTGTGGTCTCTGGCGGGAGATTCCTGCGTTTCCTGGGGAATAACGTCCGTCGTGTTCGTGCTCCAGCTGTTTTATCCATGCGTCTGCCTGCCCTGAGCACCCAGGCCTCCCTGTCGCCGCTGCTGGGCGTCTTGGGCAGTGAACGTGGGGAGTGTCTGTCTTCTCCAAGGAGTGTTTTGGTTTCCTTCGGTCATGTTCCCAGAAGTGGGGTTGCTAGGTCGCACGGCAGCTCTATTTTTAATTTTCTGAGGAATCTCCATTCTGCTTCCCACGGCGGCTGCAGGGTCTGCACCCCCAGGCCACCACGGGGCCGCCCCCACGCCCTCGCCCCACAGCGAGGCTCACGCGGCTGCCGGGGCAGGCGGAGGCGGTGCTGCGTGCGGTTCTGATCGGAGTCTCCGTCGGCCGGAGATGGGAGCATCTTTCCGTGTCTGTTGGCCCTCGGCGTGTCCTCTCGGGAGACGTGTCTGCCGGGTCCTCTGCCCCTTTCGAACTGCATTGTGTGCGTTTGTTTTTATGTTGAGCTCTGCGAGCTCTGGATACGTTTGGTTACTGAGCCACCATCGGGCATAGTATCTCCTCCCACTGCCAGTATCTCCTCCCACTCAGTCCAGGGCCTTTTGTTTCATTAATGGTTTTCTTCGTCATGTGGAAGCTTTTTAATGGTCTCATTTGTGTGTTTTCCATGTTTCTTTGCCCATATAAAATGTGGTTTGTGCCGAAACCAGTGTGGCTCAGTGGATAGAGCGTCAGCCTGTGGATCGAAAGGTCCCGGGTTCGATTCCAGTCAAGGGCACGTACATTGGTTGCTGGCACATCCCCAGTAGGGGATGAGCAGGAGGCAGCTGGTCCATGTTCCTCTCTCATCGATATTTCTAGCTCTCTATCTCTCTCCCTTCCTCTCTGTAAAAAAAAAAAAAAAAAAAAAAAAAAAAAAAAAAAAAAAAAAATCAATAAAATATACATTTTTAAAAATGTGGTTTGTCGTATGTGGCCCTGATGATGTTGAAGGGTGACCCCTCTGCCCTCACTTTGCTGAGAGCGTTGATCCTAACGGGTGATGATTTCGCCACCTGCTGTCTCCGCCTCCAGTGATAGGACCATGGAATGCGTACCCGTCACTTTATTCACGTGGTGTATCCTGTTCACGGGTTTCTGAAGATGGAACCAGCCTTGTATCTCGAGCATAAGCCCCACTCGATCCGGCGTATTCTTTGAATGTGTTGCTGGGTTTGGTTGGCTATTTCTTGGAGGGTTTGCATCTGTGTTCATATCAGGGATGCTGGCAAGCAGCTGTATTGTGTTGTGGTCTCTGCTGATTCTCTCACCCTCATTCCCCAGCCGGATAGAGACCTTGTGAAATGAATTTGGGGTGTCCCCTCCTCTTCAGTGTTTTGGGAAGAGTTTGAGGACGGTGTTCCTAGAACGTTTGGTAGAATTCACCGGTGAAGACATCTGCTTTGCTGTTTTGTTTTTTTTATTCCAGATGTGGTCTGTTCAGGTTTTCTGTTTCTCCTTGAGCCAGCCTTGGGAGATGGTGTATATATTTTTAGGAATTGGTCCCTTTGTTCTAGGTTGTCCAGTTTGTAATATTTTCTTATAATCCTTGGTATTTCTGTCACTTCTCTGTCCTTTCTGATTTTTTTGGTGGGGGGAGGCTCTCTCTTTTTTCTTGATGTGTCTGGCTAAAGATTTACCAATTTTGTCTTTTCATAGAGCCAGCTCTTGGTTTTATTTACCTTCTTAATTTCTTACCATTTATTGTATTTGCGCAGGATGTTTCTACTTCAGTCTTTGCACTTTAATTGCTCGATTCCCTTCTCTTACCAGGTGTCTGCCTTTGTCAGTGAGGTTTCTTCCCGTTTTTATATTTTCTTACTCATATATTTGACCTTTTTTTCCTTCTACCCAAACCAGCTCCTTTAACACGTTTTGTAACGCTTGATGGTGGTGACGAACACCGTTAGCCTTTTCTCATCTCAGAAACACTCTCCCTTTCGGTTCTCAGTTCTGACCTTGCCGGGCAACCCCGGCTGCAGGCCCTTGCTGCTCATCACTGGGAAGGCCACACGCCAGTTCCTTCTGGCTGCGAAGTTCCCGCCGAGAAACAGCTGCCAGGTAAGTGACGGCTTGCTTTTGCTTCAGCCTTCGGCGTTTTGAACACGCTGTGTCTTGGTGTGGCCTCTGGTTCCATCTTGTTTGAGACTCTGTGCTCCCTGGACTTGTAAGTCTATTTCCTTAGGGAAGTTTTCAGTCGTTATTTCTGTAAATAGGTTTCAATCCTTTTCTCTCTCTCTCTTCTCCTCTGGGACCCCTATGTTGTGAAAGTTGTTATGTTTGATGTCTCACAGGTCCTTTTAAACTATCCTCTTTTTAAAATATATTTTTATTGATTCCGGAGAGGAAGGGAGAGGGAGAAAGAAACATCAATGATGAGAATCATGGATCGGCTGCCTCTTGCATACCCCCAACTGAGGGTCGAGCTGACAACCTGGGCAAGTGCCATAGACTTAAACCCGGGACCCTTTGGTCTGCAAGGCTGATGCTCTATCCACTTAGCCAAACTATTCTCTTAAAAAAAAATTCTCTTTTCCTTTGCTGCTCTGAATGGATGTCAGCTGCTACCCATCTTCTGGGTCACTAATTCCATCCTCTGCTTCCGCTGATCTGCTATTGATTCCCTCTAGTGTATTCTTCATCTCAGCTACTGCAGTTCTTTAGTTCTGGTTGGTTCCTTTTAATAGCTCTTATCTCTTTGTTGAAATTCTCAGCATTCATTCAGTCCTCTCCCACGTTCATTGAAGAGCCTTATTACTAGCGTTTTGAATCTTAGCGGGCTAGCTGCTGGTCTCCATTTCAGTTTAGTTCCTTTCTTGAGGTTTTGTCCTGTTCTTTCATGTGGGACATGGTCTACTCTCATTTGGATGGACTCTCCATGTATCAGGTGGATGTGCTATGTCTCAGTCTTAAAAGTGTTGAGTTGGAGGTGGTCATGGGAGGAGGGGAGCTGTGGGCCCAGCAGAGCAGCCCCTCAGCCACCTGGGCCGGGTCTCCGGGGTGTCCTGTGTGGTGGCACATGCCCTCCTGCTGGACTGGGCTTTGCTGCTGCAGGCGCCGTGGTGGGCGGGCTCTCCGGCGGACTGGCTGTGCCGGCTGCTGCTGTGGCAGAGGAGCGCCCGGGGACCGGCCGGAGCACTCCTTCGGAAGGACTGCAGGGTTGAGGAGCTGGTTGGGTGGGGATCTGAGAGGCCTGAAGCCAGCCTCCAAGTGTGTGGAGTCTGGAGTCCCAGGAGGGCCCCGGTGTGGGCAGGGCTGCCTGGTGGGAGCCTCAGTGCTCCCCAAGACAGCTGCTACTGTATGGGGCTCGCCGCCCTCCCTCCAGGGAGCCTGCCGCGGGAGCTTCTGCCAGGAGGTCAGGGTGCGAGAGGGACGGGGTGGCTCAGGGAATCAGGGCAGGGCCAGCGAGGAGAGCGGCACAGGCCCTCGCCCTGAGCTTGGCCACTCCTCCCGACCGAGCTCCCAGCCAGAGGGGCCTCCTCCCGGCACTGGAGTCCCTCTGGGGCCCTGCCTGGCTGGGACCCCCTGCTTCTCGGGAAGGGGAGGGCTCTGCAGCCCAGACATGGCTGTCCCAGGGGTGGGCCCGCCCAGGGGTGGGCCCGCCCTCCGGGGCCTCCTGGTGGCTCTTTGTACCCGAGTTCCAGGCGTTCTGTCAGCTGGCCTCCCAGTGGTGTACGTTGGAGGTGGTCGTGGGAGGAGGGGAGCTGTGTATCTGCCCGGTCATCTGACTGCACCCCGAGAACACCCCTTGTTAACACCGACTCACCGAGAGCAGAGAGTCATCCCACCCCACCTCCCACGCTCCTGAGCCCGAGGAGAGCGGAGCTGATGGGAGGCACATCGGGCAGCTGGGTTCACAGAGCAGTTTGTCCTGGTTGTGGGTCCCCATGTGCAACGGCAGGGCCCATCCTGCCGGCCCCCCACCCCGTCCTGCCGGCCCCCCCACCCCGTCCTGCCGGCCCCCCCACTCCATCCTGCCGGCCCCCCCACCCCGTCCTGCCGGCCTCCCACCCCGTCCTGCCGGCCCCCCACCCCGTCCTGCCGGCCCCCCCACCCCGTCCTGCCGGCCCCCCACCCCGTCCTGCCGGCCCCCCACCCCGTCCTGCCGGCCCCTCCCAAGCAGAGGGCGCCGTGGGAGGGTCGAGGAGAGAGATGTCAAGGCGGCAATTGACCACAGACCCCGGGGGAAGAGGCGTCCTGAACCACCAGCTGCTGGCGCGTGTGAATGTTCAAAAAATATTTATTTATAAAAAATACACTGGGATGAGTTTATGCTGAGAAACGCAGCAATAAATACAGTGAGACAGCGAGTCTACACCGCTACGTTGGCACGGCGGACGGGCACACGCCGGCCAGGCCCCCGCGCCCGCAGCCACGGCGCCGCCCGGAGACGCCCGCGGGGGAGCGGCCGGGCCGACGCCGAGCGAGGTCGCCCGCACTCCCACCTGGACCGGCAGGGCGGGCGGCGGCGGGCGCCGAGCACGGCTTAGTCTCCGGAGGAGCCGGCACTAGCTGGGGAGCTCCTATCGCTTGCGGACGTTCCGAAGGATGTGAGGACGCGGGTCTGCCAGAGGGACGCCCTGCCCTCCGCTCCGGGGCCGAAGGCGGCGCGGAGGGCGGGCGGGGGCGGGGGGGGGGGCAGGAGCAGGAAGCGCACTGGGGTTCGGGCGGGGCGGCGCCTAGTAATCCAGGCCGGGGTCGCCGTACGGGTACTCGCGGGCGTCGTCCTCGCCGTAGCCGCCGCCGTAGCCGCCGGGGCACTCGTCGGGGTACTCGGCCTGCGAGTCGCTGTCGCTGACCTCGGAGCCGTTGGTGCCGGTGCCCTGGCTGCCGTTGCGGAGGACGGGCTCGGTGGGCGCGGCGCAGTACTTGGGGTCGTAGACCTGCCGCCCGAGCCCGTACACGCTCATGCCCTTCTGCGAGGCCACCTTGTTGGTGCCCATCTGCAGCGAGATGGTGGAGCTGTCCACGGGCTGCAGCGTGAGCTTCTGGTCGTAGATGTCCCTCCGGGTGCCCGGCGCCAGCATGCCCGCCTGCGACCGAGGACGGAGGTTAGTGACCGCGGAACGGCGACAAGGGACGGGCTGAGGAGGTCGCGGCTCGATTCCCCGTCCGGAAGGTTCTCTCTCACCACTGATGCTCCTGCCTGCCTCTCCCTCTCCTTTCCTCTCTCTGGAATCAATTCACACACACACACACACGGCCCCTTACCTGGCTGGCCCCCTTGTTGGTGCCCATCTGCAGGCTGATGGTGGTCTGGTCGAAGGGCTTGTCCGTCTGCATTTTGGGGTCGTACAGGTGCCTCCTGGTCCCGTAGGCGGTCATGCCCGCCTGGCTGGCGCACTTGTTGGTCCCCATCTGTAATCACAAAATGAGAGCGGCATCAGTTCCCGGGCGCCGAGTCTCCCCCGGCCTCCGAAGGCGCGTTTGAAGGAAGGACTCAAACAGCCCACTGGCTACGGCCTCATCGTTAACCACACAGAAACCGCAACAGGAAGGACGGACGGACACTGAGACGCCACAGAGGCTGGATGATGAGAAATTAGCTCCCTCCGCTTCCTCCCTCCCCGTCGGCTGGGCGGCCTCCGGAGGGGAGGGCAGAGGCAGGCACCGCCTGCACGGGCGTGAACTCCCCACCAGGTGTTCTCTCTGCGCGGAACGAGCGCAGCTTCCGCCTCCTCCCATTGGCCCGTTCTGGGGCAGGAGCCGCAGGGCAGGCCCCACCCCCCTCACGTCCACGGGCTGAGCCCGGGGCACCGCCGGCTGCGGTCAGAGCAGCAGGAACGGGCGCCGTTCCCTCCCTCCCCTCCCACCCAGGGCCCGGCCTCGGGCGAGTCAGCTGGGTCTTTCCCCTTAGAAAGCCTGATCACAGGAAAAGGTAACAGTAAACTGCTCGCTGGGAGACTCGGAGACTCAGCAGCGTGAGCGGAGGAAGGGGTGGGACGCTCCTCCCCTCGGGGTCTGCGTGAGCAAGCCCGCCCCCGCCCCACCCCCGGCCGAGCCGGTGCCCTGAGACACCCCGGCCTCAAGGAAGGGAGGGGAGACCCCGGCTGGGGGTCCCCAGGAGCGGAGCCGACACCCGAGCGCTGGCCCCGTGACTCGGCCTTGGGGTCCGTGAGGCTGCCCCACGGGCCCCTCGCCTCGATTTAGGAAGGGCGGCCCCTCGGAGAAGCAGTGCAGGCGGGAAGCCACCGCCCACGGCCACGGACGTAATCCCCCCGCCTGCCCGGGCCTGCCCGTCCCCGCGATGGCGCCCCCGGCCCTCACCTGCAGCCCGATGACGCTCTGGCCGGCCTTCAGCTTGCCCTCGTCGAAGCGCCGCGTCTGCTTCTCGGCGTACTTCACGCCGATGTCGATGGTGGTGTGGAAGCCTTTGGTCTTGGCCTGGACGGAAGCGCACCCTCAGCCGAGCCCGGCCCAGGGGAGGCCCGGGCGTGGCCATCGCGGTCCCACGCGGCACCTCAGGCGTGGGGGCGTCTGATGGCGCCCGGCAGCCCCCACAAAGCTAACGATCACGGGGCCGGCCCTCCCTGCGCCTCTGAACTCCGGGGTGGGGTGGGGGGGGGGGCACGCAGCTCGTCCCCGTTCCCGCGGCGGGACCCGCACCGCGGACAGGCGCACGTACCAGGCCGGCCAGCGCCACCAGCGTGGTCTGCACCTGCGTCATGTTCCCGTTCTCAAACAGGTCGTTGGCCTCGAAGATGTCATGGGGCTTCATGCCGTACGCCTGGATGGCCTTGATGAAGTTGCCGATGTTCTCCAACTGGAAGGCAAGAGGCAGGTGGTGTCGAGGACCGTGCTGGTCTTCCCCGGGGACCCAGCCGCACCCGGGCCTGCGCTCCGACCGGGAACGGAACCGTGGCCTCCTGGTTCCCAGGTCGGCGCTCAGCCTCTGAGCATGCCAGGATTTTTAAAGGGTGATGTTTTTTAGTTTCTCAAAAACATGATCTTCTGCCGAGACCGGTTTGGCTCAGTGGATCGAGCGTCGGCTTGGGGACTGAAGGGTCCCGGGTTCAATTCTGGTCAAGGGCATGTACCTTGGTTGCGGGCATATCCCCAGTGGGGGGTGTGCAAAAGGCAGCTGATCGATGACTCTCTCTCATTGGTATTTCTAACTCTCTCTCTCTCCCTTCCTCTCTGTACAAAATCAAAAAAATATATTTAAAATAAATAAAATCAATAAAAATCTATTCTTCAAAAAAACAAAACAAAACATGATCTTCCTCACGTGCTTATAAGATTTCCACGTCCGTGTTGCCCAGGCTGAAGTTCCCTTTGTCAAAAGGCACGTAATCTGTCATGTTTTGGTTTTAACTTTGTGTAAATTTGTGGTTCTGTGGTTGCTAAATGCTTAGGCTCTTCTGTATCGGAACCCGCCGTGAAGACTGCCCTCCGAGGCTTTCTCTGTGAAAACGTGCCAAGGCTTCTCGGAGAAGAGACAGACTGAAGATAAGAAAACTCCCAGACGGAACACCTAATAGCCAGGCCCCGTCCTAAGGAGTCACGGAAGCGTCAGGAACAACACGGCACAAAAGCCAGACCCGCCGCCAGCACAGCCTCCTGCCGGACGTCCGTGTGGGAAGCGCCCTCCAGTTCCGCTGCCTGAGAGTGACCACCTGCCCGCTGGCCGGCTCAGGGGCTGAGTCTCGACCTATGACCCCGGGGGTCAGGGTTCGATTTCTAGTGGGGGCCCAGGGCCAGGCTGTGGGCTCCATCCCCAGTGTGGGGCGTGTGGGAGGCAGTCAGTCCATGATTCTCTCTCATCACTGATGCTTCTACCCTCTCCCTCTCCCTTCCTCTCGGAAGTGAGTAAAAATAAAATGTATAAGAAAAAGGAAATTGTGGTGAAGTAGGAGACCTCTACAAGTTCCCCACTTAATCTATCTTAAAAAAAAAAAAAAGAAAAAAAAAGAAAAAGTGACCGAGGGTGTATTACCTGCCCCGAGGGGGTGGGACCTGCCCCGAGGCCGTGGCTAGGCTCACCTGCGGCCAGTTCAGCGAGGACTCGTTGACCTTCTTCACGGAGCCCGGCTGGAGCTTGTTGATGAGCCTGGGAGGGAGAGGACGGCTCACGGCGGTCCCGGGAGGCGGCCGGCTGCCCCCCCCGCCCCCATCCCATGCAGGCAGCGTGGGCCCCGGCACCGGCGAGGTCAGGTGGTGTCCTGGCCGGGAGGGATGGCGGGGGGGGAGGGGGGGGGGGCCGGGGCCCGTGGGGCTCGGCCGGAGACTCACTCGCAGAGGATGATGCCGTCCTTGAGGCCCAGCTGGAAGCTGGTGCCGATGCTCATGCCCGTCACCTCCTCGATCCAGCCGCGCAGGTCCTCCTCCGCCTGCGGGTCGTACTTGGACGCGATCTGGAACACAGGGCGGCGTGAGCACCGCCCAGTCCCCACCCGCCGGCGGCCGCCGGCCACCCGCTCGCACCGCGCTCACTGCCGCCCCAACGCGCCGCTGGCTTCAGGACAAATTGCCCGCCCGGGGGAGCGGATGGGCAGCGAGTGGGGAGACGCTGGGGCCGCGGAGGGGAACGGCGCCCGCTCATGACACGCGGGGAGAGACGGCCCGGCGGGGAGAGAGAGAGGGCTCCTGGGGGAGAGACGGCCCCGCGGGGAGAGAGAGGGCCCGGCGGGGAGAGAGGCGAGTAACCACGAGGCGGTGTCGCCCACGTCACATGACTGTGGGTTCGGGCTTTTCCGCCCAAACACTGCTAATCCTTTGAAAAGAAGGGAGCTTCCAGCAGCCACGCCAGCTGAGTGGAATTCACGACTTAGGAATGTGTGCTCTTTTCTTACAAACAAGTTTCAGATGAAAAGGAAATTCTTATGAGACCATCTGGGAAAGCAGTCTCTTTCACAGGCCTCCCCTCCCGGACGCAGTGGGTCAGAGTCGGCCAGGCAGATGGGGACCCACCGCCCACAGCCCAGCACCCAGCACCCACGGCCCAGCACCCACCGCCCAGCACCCACTGGTGGCCTCCGAGGCTCGAGCGCAGCCCTAGAGCAAGCCCGGAAAAGGCAGCTCCGTGGTGGAGCTTGCCCCCATTTCCACCAAAAAGCTGTATCCGGGCGTCGGGCGGGAAATGCCGACGTGTCCTTCCTGGCCACGTGCCAGGCGGGGTAAGCCCACCGCCTGCAGGCCTGGCGGCTGCGGTCCCATCTGTCTCAGTATCGCTCTCCCAGCTCTTTATCAGCCTCATTCTTCACTCTGCCTCGGGGTTTATTTCACGTGATTCCCTGGCGACCTTCAGAGGCCCTGCCCGGAGGGGGCCTCCCACCTGCTGCCCCCAGGCAGACACCCCTGTACGAGCCTGCGGGAGCCCCCCTGCAGGAAGTCCCCCCCCCCCCCCCGAGGTGAGGATGAAGGGGGTGTGGGAGGGTATGTGCCCCAGGGAATGAGGCCAGGTGTGGACAACAGCGGAGGCCAGGGAGACCAGCCTCGCCACCTCCCCCCTCCCCCGTCGCTGCCTGGAGACCGGGAACAGGATGAGGTCAGGCTCGGCGTCACGCCCGCCTGGGACCCGCCCCTGCAGACCTCAGCTCCTCGGTGCACGGCCAGGTCACATGCCTGGAAGTCAGACGTCAAAGGCTCTCAGTGTGACCTCAGGCGGTAACCGAACCCGCCCCTGCTCCCCCGGGCCCCTCCTCTCCGACCGCGGGCAGGCTGCCCTGCCGGGGGTTTGACCGCTTTAAGCCGGTTATTTTTAAGAAACAAAAGACTAAAAAAATAACCCCGAAAGCCCCACAAAAACCTCAGCCTCGGCCTCCCGGGGCCCAGCAGGCCACTGCGGCTACGACAGGCCCCGGGGGCGGGAGGCCTGTGTGAGCAAAATCCAGCGCCACCCGCCCCGCAGACGCTCATTCTCCACGTGACCCGACCCCCCCCCCCCCCCAGGCCCTCCCCCTCCCCGTGTCCTCAGCTCGGGGCACCTGAGCCTCCAGGCCCACTGCCTGGGGCCCATGCTCGGGCGGCGGCCTGCCCGTCTCCTGCTCACCTGGTCACCATTCCGCCAGGACTCAGGGGGGTGGGGGGGCCCGAGTGACCTCCCACCCACGCGGCCTCGGTCCTGGCCCTGGAGCGGGGCCTCGGCCTGCCGCCTGCCCACCCTCGGACCCGCCAGGCACCGCCTCCTGCCTCCAAACAAGCGCCGATGGACATTGGCCAGCAAACGGTCACCATGAAAGCAAAGGCGCCGTCAAACCGCTGGAGGCCGGGACCCTCGCACAGACGGAGTCACTGACGGGACAGGGCCACGCGCCCTCGGGGCTGCCCTCCGTCATGGCGGCCTCAGGAGTGTTCAGAAGAGCTGGCGGTGGATGGGAGGGAGCAGGCGGTTATCCCCAAGGACCAGAGGGAACGACTAAGGGTTCGGGTGCTCACGTGTGGGTGTGCGGGGCCTTGGCAAACGCGGGGACCCGGGGGGACCCGCTCGGTCCTCGCCCCCGCTCAGAGCCCCAGGCAGGAGTGGACCCCCCGGGCCAGGCCTGCACCCCGGAGCCCGCACAGAGCACACCCGGGACCTGCCTGTGTCCTCCTGAGGGCTTTACCCGTCCTCCCCCCCAGAGCCTGCGCCTGGGCAACGGCACCCGATGCCGGTGGGGAGACCAGACCAGGAAAACCCAGGATGGTCACACGGCGCCTGCACCAGGCAGCCATCTCCTCCATCGCCATCTAGCCATCTCAGATGGGGCCGGCGGATTTGGTTTGCTCCTGATAAAGGGCCTTCTGTCCACGGCGCTCCGAGGCCCGGAGAAATCCTAGCCGCGCCGGGAGGGGCCCCCACGCCCGCGGGCGGGACGGCAGCCCAGCCGGGGGCGCCTGGCGACTCAGATTCAGATCTCGCTGGCCGCTGGCCGCTGCCCTTGGAGGCCTCAGGGAAAGTAAAGTGGGGCAGAAAGAAGGAAACCGGGATTCCGAAAGACCCCGGCTTACTCCACAGGTCATTCGAGGCGCAGGCACGCCCTGCCCCGGAGTCCGGGCACCTGATGGCCACGTGCACTCAGCGAGCCAGAGAGTCCTCTATAAAACATCGCTTTTTAAAAATATATATTTGTATCGGTTTCAGAGAGGAGGGGAGAGGGAGAGAGAGGAACGTCAGTGAGGAGAGAATCATGGATCGCAGGCCTCCTGCTCGTCCCCCCCCCCATCGAGCCCCCAATGACCGGGACTCGAACTGTGGCCTCCAGGTTGGTGGGCGGACGCTCGCCCTGAGCCAGGCCGGGGCAGCCTAGGAGGGTCCTCCAGGAGCCGGGGTGAGGACGTGGCTGTCAGGCCAGGCCACTGCCACCGCCCCGGACGGGGGATGTGGCCTGTCCCCTCCGGCCCGCCTGGGCCTCTGGGGGGGGGGGGACGACTGAGCCCTCTCCCGCCAGCTCGTCCTGGGAACCTCCTTCCTCGCAGGTTGTCCCTCCCCGGCCCCGGCCCCTTCCCTGCACCTGGCCCAGCGGCACCCGGCTGTCTGAACAAGGGCACCTTTGATGGACCCCAAGGGGCTGACATTGTCCCGTTCTTGCCGCCTGGAGACAAGCATGGCCACTTGCTCCTTCCTGCCTCCCTCCCGGACGGTGCGTCCTGGAGGCGCTGCTCTGCTCGGCGGTCCCTGTGACCGGCCCCGGGGCGGCGGAGGCAGGGGGCGTCCAGGAGGCGGGGCGTCCAGACCGCCCAGCGGCGGGTCTGCACAGGGACCGGCCAGGGCGGCGGAGGCAGGGGGCGTCCAGGCCGCCCAGCGGCGGGTCTGCACAGGGACTGGCCTCACGGCCGGGTGGGAGCTGGGCCCTGGACCTCGAGGCTCAGCAGCAGCCCCGAGCTCAGTGCTCACTCGGCCGCTCCTGTCCAGCCCCCGGAAGGTTTCCTCCTTCAAACACGTCTGAAAAGCCGCCGCCGGTCTCTATTCCCAGGGGAGCTTTAGACAATCAGAATCGACCAGTGATCAGTAACGATTAATAACGACCAGTAACGAGGCTGCTGGAGCCACTGCGGAGTCGGGAGTCCAGGCAGCCAGTGCCCCCCCCCCCGCGGGGCTGGAGATGTGCACCCCCCTCCCCGCCCGCGGGTCACGCTGGGGTCTCCGACCAAGAAGCTCGCCCCCTCCAGGGCCAGAGGCAGCCGCCCGCCGGGCTGTAGAAGGTGCTGGAAGGTGGCAGAACCCACCGACCAGGGAAGAACGTTTCGGAACCGAGCTCGAGAGAACAGGACAAAGCCTGGCCGGGCGGGGCGGGGTGTGAGGGGCAGGCAGGGGGGCCCTGGGTGTGTGTGTGGGGCTGTGGGCAGGGGGGCCCTGGGTGTGTGTGGGGGCTGTGGGCGGGGGGGCCCTGGGTGTGTGTGTGGGGCTGTGGGCAGGGGGGCCCTGGGTGTGTGTGTGGGGGGGGCTGTGGGCAGGGGGGCCCTGGGTGTGTGTGGGGGCTGTGGGCGGGGGGGCCCTGTGTGTGTGTGTGGGGGGCTGTGGGCGGGGGGGCCCTGGGTGTGTGTGGGGGCTGTGGGCGGGGGGGCCCTGGGTGTGGGTGTGGGGGCTGTGGGCGGGGGGGCCCTGGGTGTGGGTGTGTGTGGGGGGCTGTGGGCAGGGGGGGCCCTGGGTGTGTGTGGGGGGCTGTGGGCGGGGGGGCCCTGGGTGTGGGTGTGTGTGTGGGGGCTGTGGGCAGGGGGGCCCTGGGTGTGTGTGGGGGCTGTGGGCAGGGGGGCCCTGGGTGTGTGTGTGGGGCTGTGGGCGGGGGGGCCCTGGGTGTGTGTGTGGGGGGGCTGTGGGTAGGGGGGCCTGGGGGGTCCCCACGCCCGGTTAGCAGTGAGCGGCAGGGCGGGTCCAGCACCGAAGCGGGTCCACGTGTGGACGCCGAGGCTGTGCACGGGGTCGATCACCCCGCTTCCCCCTCCACGTCGGCCGGGCCCCGGGGCCAGACCCCTCCCGCTCCCCGTCCCTCTGTCCCGTCTTTCTGCAGCCCCTCGCACCGCAGGGCAGCCCCAGGGCCGTCCGGGGGCGCCCCCACGCACGAGGGAAGCTCGGGGGGGCCTCGGCTCCGGGCGGAGGGCCGGGGGCGCATCCCTCTACGGGCAAGGCCAGCGCAGGGCAGGGCCACACCTGCCCAGACACACACGTCTCCCCAAGCTGGGGAGGCAGGCACCCCCCCCCCCCAACACACACACGTTACGGTGACACACAGGATATGCGGCCAGGGTCAGCGCTAGAACTGAGGGTCCCACCGGACAGCCTCCCCGGCCATCCTGAGCCCCGGCGGGTCTGTAAAGCGCCGGACGAGCTTGTATTTCTGTTAGGATTCCCCCCCCCCACCCGCCCTCAACCAGCCCTGGGGTTCGGACCTGCGCCCGGGCTGGCTGCAATGGGGGTCGGCACCCCGGGCTTCTCCAGGGCTGAGGGGACCCAGTGCCGGTCCCAGAGCAGCAGGCACATGGCACCCCCACCCCCAGGCCCCACCATGAGGAGCAGCTGCCGCTCCCTGGGCGGAGGGGGAAGGACTGGCTGAGACCCCAAAAGCATCCAGTGGGCGACTTGTTTTGACGTCACAGATCACTGTAATGGTGGCTCAGGGCACCCTGGGAAGTCACCCTCCCCCCCAGTCCCAGCGAGGCCTCCAGGGGGCTGCTGCTGCCCCGAGGGACCGGGCAGAGGGCGCTGTCCCCGCTGGGGGGCCTCCCGGACACGGGGCGGCCGAGGCATCAGCAGTTTCACTCCCTGACTCACAGGCTGGCAGCTCTCCTGCACCTTCCCTGCGGAGGGAGGCCTCCCGCTGTATCCACGGAGACGTGAGCCCAGATCCCGGTCCCCGGGGGGCAGGGAGCATCAGGCTGAGCTTCTCAGCACCCGTTCGCTCCTCCCGGAGCACTCCTCCCTCTGCCCCCAGCACCGACCCCCCACTCCAGAAAGTGCCCGCCATTGGCTAAGACTGTCACGCAGGCCACACACCGAACCCCCGGACTGACGCCCCATCCTCCACGTGTCAGGAAAGGCCGCTTCCTCCAGGTTTTCCCGGTCCTCAGGCACCCGGTGCTCCCGCTTCCTGCCCCCTCCCCAGACACCCGGTGCTCCCGCTTCCTGCGAGGGCTGGTGCTCCACCGGGGACCTTGCTAATCCCACTGCTCCCCCCAGAACTGCCTGCCCAGCGGCTGCCTGCCTGTCCTGGGCTCAGACAGTCTCTGTAGATGGCAAGTTACTGGCCCTTTCGCTGCTGTCAGACCCGGAGCCGGGCTGGAAGATTCTACCTTTTAGGCTAAACACCTTCTTGCCCATTTATTAAAAAGAGCCACTGTGCATTCCTTCCAAGGAGCACCAGCGTGGCCAGCAGGTATCTTGCTTTACAGATTACCCCCGCCCTGAAGTTCACTAACGAGAAAAGCGTCTGAGATCAAAGCCTCTGGACGCTGTCACGACCGGGAAAGACCAAAGGCTCTCACTGGGGAATTCAAGAGGCGGCGGCCCGTCCGGGAAGCACGCCATAGGCGCTTCTCTCACGAAGCACCATAGCGACCATGTCGACACGGGGTGCTTACTGCCACCCGCATCTCAGCCCTCGGTCAGCAGCTGAAGCCCAGAGCGCATAACCGGCCGGTCACACCGGGCGAAGAGGCAGGAAGGGGACCAGGACCGGGCGATGGACCCCGAGGCCCATCCCACAGCCCCGTCCAGGCTCGTGCCTTTTCCACTCTGTAAACGAGGTTTTCAGGAAAAGCAGAACCCTGGCTCGGAGTGCCCCGTGCTATGCAGCCCGTGGAGAGACAGCGAGGGCTCAGGTGCGGGCGCCCAGCGAGTCCAGGCCGGTCCGGGCGCCCGCAGTGGACAGCAAGGCCTCCCGGAGGCCCGGCAGACAGAACACGGCACCCTGACCCCGGACAGGTTCACACGGAATCACATGCCAAATCTCGAGGTCAAGGGATGAATGAGAGGTGGCAGTGAGAGTGGGGGCGAGGGGAGATCAGGGGAGATGTAGAATGCCCAGAGCCCACCCCAGGCACCTCCTTAGAGTTAGTGCTCCAACTTCCTTCTCCAACCTCTAAGGAGCAATGTCTTTACTGATTTCCCAGAGGGAGAGGGAGAGGGAGAGAACCGTCAGTGCCGAGAGGGGATCATGGATCCGCTGCCTCCCGCACCCCCCACTGGGGACCAACCCCCACCCCGGCTCAGAGGTTGGCGCTTGGCAGGGTGGCCCTTCTTTCAGGGTGAGCATCACCCTCCTGGTCTCCAGACTTTAGATGGCGGCACCCAGCTCGGGGCGGCGGGGTGGGGTGAGGACCCGGGCTGATGGAGGAGGCTGGGAGCTAGGTGGCCGGCCTGGAGTCCCGTGTCCGGTTTCTGAGCCCGGGTTTGACTAACAGTCACAGCGGCCTCTGTCCCCCCGCCGCCCCCCGCAGCGAGGAGAAGCTGCTCCTTAGTCGCCAAGAGAAAGGCGCTGGACGTGAACCCCAAGAAGGGCGGCCCCCGCAAGGACTGCCGGGTCAGCCCCGATCACCGCGCAGGGGGCAGGGGCTCGGGCTGGGCCCCCCGCCCCGCCCCGCCCGGCGGCCGCGCGGTCCCGGAGGCGGGATGGGGACCGCCAGGCCGAGCGCGCACTTTTCTCTTTACAAAAAGTCCGGGAACTTCCCGGGGGCGCCGCCCCGGCCCCGGCCCCGGCCCCGGCCCACAGGTCCAGGCGGAGGGGCGGCAGGACCCGGCGAACCCGACCGGAGGCCGGACGGCGGGGCGAACCAACCCAGCGCCTCGGGGTCCGCCTGGGGCGCCGCCCCGGCCCCGGCCCGGGCTCCGGGTCCGGATCTGGCTGCGGGTCGGGGTCCGGGCTCCGGTCCGGCTCGGCCCCCGGCGCAGACAATGCGCCGTCTGTGCCGGCGCCGCCGATTGGCCGCGGGCTGATGTCACGGGCCAGGAATGCGGCGGGAGCGGGAGGAGGTTTGGGGAGGGGGCCGGCCCCCTCCGCTCCCGCCGCAGCCCGCGTCCTCCCGCCGGGCCCGCAGCCCGGCCCGCCCCGCAGCCCGGCCCGCCCCGCGCCCCGGGCCGCCCGAACAAAGGGCCAGGAGCGCCCGATACCGTTACAGCCCCGGGACCCAAACTTCTCAGTTTCCATAAAAAAAAAAAAAAAAAAAAAAAAAAAAAAGGCACAAAAGCCCTCGCGTCCCCGCCCAGGGCGGCCCGAGCGCGCGCTTTGTCCGGTCCCGCGGCTTCGCCCGCGGCGCCGGCCCGGGCGCTCCGCCGCCGCCGTCCGGGGCAGCGGGGGCGCCGGGGGCCGGGAACAAAGGCCGGCGGCCGCCGCCCGCCCGACTCCCCGCCCGGAGGGGAGGGGAGAGGCCGCGGCGCCCGGACCTCAGCCCGCGGCCAATCGGGGCGGAGGGCCCCTCGGGGCGGAGGGCCGCGCGGGGGCACCCGGCCCGGGGGGAGGGTCCTGCAGCCGCGGCCCGGCCCCCGCCCGCCGACCGTCCGGCCGCGGCGGGAACAAAGCCGGAGGCGCCGGGCGGTCACTCCCGCCGCCCGACGTCCCGCTCCGCCAAGCCCGAGCGCGGGCACCGCCCGGCCCGGAAACCCGCCCTGGCCCCCGCACCCCCGCCCCGGCCCGGCCCCCCGGCCCCCCGCCCCGGCCCGGACCCCCGCCCGGCCCGGGCCCCCGGACCCCCGCCCTGGCCCCTTGCCCCGGCCCGCACCCTCGCCCCGGCCCGCACCCCCGCCCCGGCCCGCACCCCCGGTCCCCCGCCCCGGCCCGCACCCCCGGCCCCCCACCCCGGCCCGGACCCCGGCCGGCCCGCACCTTGTTCTTGACCTCGGCCGAGAGCCCGTAGGACGGGCCCTTGTTGAAGTGGGTCATGGCGGCGGCTCGGTCTGCTCTGCCTCGCGCTCCGGGCCCGGGAGTGGCCGCCGCTCACGCTCCGAGCTCGCTCCCTGGGCGGCGATGCGACTGTCCCCGGAGCCGTCCGCCCGCGGCCGCCCCGGCCCCCGCCTCGCCCCGCCCGCCGGCCCCGCCCCCGGCCCGACGGCCCGCCCGCCCCGTCCCCGCCCGCCGGCCAATGGGCCCCCAGCCCGAGGGCCCGCCCCGCCCCGTCCCCGCCCGCCGGCCAATGGGCCGCCGCTCCGCCCGCCGCGAGGCGGAGCTGCTCCCCGGCCCCACCCCGGCCCCCGGCCCGGCCCCGCCCACCCCGCCCCCGGCCCGGCCCGGCCCGGCCCGGCTCACGCCCCCGCGGCCCGCGGCCCGCGGCCCGCGGCCCCCGCTCCGGGCGAGGAGCGGGGCGGGAGCGGGGGAGCCGGGAAAGACCGGGGCTGCGGAGCCGGAACTCCTGTCCCCGCGCCGGCAGGCCGCCCCAGGGTCGCCCCAGGCCGCGGAGCGAGGACCCCTCCCGCGGCTGGGCCCCCGAGCAGCCCGGCGCCGAGAGGCCTCCGCTCCGGCCGCCGGCGCCGGGAAGGCCGGGCCGGGCACGGCCGGGGCGGGCGCCCTTCCCCGGTGGCATCCCGGTCCGGATGGAGGAGACGGGGAGGGGGAGAAGGTGGGGGCGGCCCTTGCTCGAAGCCCGGAGGCCGCAGCCGCGCCAGCCCCTCCCGCGGCCCGGCTCCCCGCCCGTCCTCCCTCTGAGCCGGAAGGGACGAGCACCCGCTTTTCCCGGGGCGCCGGCACTGCAGGGCACCCACCACCCACGGCTCCAGTCCCCGAGCCACTCGTGTCCCTACAATCCGGGCGCCGGGGCGCCGTCGCCAAAGTGCGCCTCCCGCGCCCGCCCCGCGCACACCGGGGCCGGCAGCCCGGGCCGGCAGCCCGGGGTCGGGCTCCCAGGGTCGGGGCTCGGGGGGACCCGGTGTGAGTCCTGCGGGCGGGGCAGCAGCTCCGGGCCGGACGCGCCCACGGAGCCAGGCGAGGCCGGAGGAGCCACGCGGGACAGCGCGGCGCGAGGCAGCTTCACCGGGAACCGTGAGCCCGGCGGGAGGAGGTGTCTGTGGGCTTTGCTCGGCCGGAGCTCCGTCCTCAGTCCTTCCTCCCGCAGTGCCTCCCCGCCTGTCCCCTCGGCCACCGGCTGCCTAGTTGTGGCCTCACGGTCGCGCGGGTCCCTGATCTGCGGGGGGACGGGAGTGAAGGCTGCTGGGCGGCGGGTGTGTGTGTGTGTGTGACTCCAGGGCACACTCCAGCCCCACATTCCAACCTGGCTGCTCACCCGGGCCTCGCACACGCACACGGTGTCACAGGGTCAGCTCAGTGCCTTTGCGGCCGGTTCCCGGGAAACGCCACGCCGGCACCTCCTCCGAGGAGTCATTTCCTCAGCACGCGGCCCTGTCCCCACGAAGGACAGACTGGATGCTGCTGAGACACAGCGTCCCCGCCTGTTTCTTGAACTAAACGTGCCGCCTGTGGCTCTGGAGACACATCTGGCCGCCAGGCATTCCGTGCGGGAGGAGAGCAGCGTCAGCACGGCGAGTGGCGAGCGGAGCCAGCGGGGTTTCCCTCATATTTCTAGTTGGGATGTAACCCCCAGGAGGGTAGGGCGTCTCTGAGCAGCACTGGATCCCCGCACGTGGCACAGTAGCCGTTCCCTGAGGAAGGCAGGGGAAACTCCAGGCTGAGAACAGAATGCTAAGAATGCGGGCTGGAGGGCTGCCCTTTGCCGACCTTTACGCTCGGTCGCTCCGTGGCCGCTGGGCCTGGGGCTGGGAGCGCTGGGCGGGACTGAGGTCGCTCCGGAGGATAAGAGCTGATTGGGACGTGCGCTTGTAATCGCGTGCGCTTAGAGTTCCGCGTAAGGCATCCCATTATAACATTCCTGGGCTCACTCCTGGCTTCAGCATCCGGGGTTTCCCCCTGTTTGCTTGTGTCAATTCTCATCCAAGGATTTTCTTTAGAGAGAATGAAAGGGGGGGGTATCAATGTGAGAGAGACACATGGGTTGGCTGCCTCCCGCACCCGCCAGACTGGGGCTGGGGCTGGAACCCGCCGCCCTCTCTGTAAAGTGTCCACAGCCAATCCGGTGAAGCCTGGCTCCGGGTCTCCCACAGGGATGCCCCCAGGGGCTGGGCCCAGGCCCAAGGGGGGCCCTCCCTGCGGAGCCGGCAGCTGAGGCGGCCGGAAGGGAGTGGGCAGGGACTCCGCCAGAGGCCTGGCACGCTCTCTCCCCGGCTGCCCGTTTCTTTCCGTGAAAAGACGCCACAGGCACTGACACGGAGGCTTCTCCGAGGACGCGGGGCGGATGGCCACCAGATGCACACGCCGCTGGTGGAGGCGAGGCCGGCGCTGGTGCTCAGGACACGGACCACCACCCCGAGCGGCCGCACCGGTCCCGGGTCTGCCTTTACGGCTCTGGAGGAATTCTGTATTTTGCTCAGTTTCTGCCGTTTCCGCTCCTGCTGCTGCTGCTGCTGCTGCTGTGCTGGGGGCAGGGCAGTGGGGGGTGGGGGGTGGGGAGGGACAGGCCTCGGTCGGCTGCTGCAGGGCCCTCAGCTGTGGGCGCGGTCAGCCGTGCCCACAGGCACTGCCCTCCCGTTCCGCCGTGACCTGCGCTGTCGGGCCCTGAGGGCGGCGTGTCCTTGGAGAAGGCGGCGCCGGGGAGGCCGTGCCTGGAGCCCGGACGCTCTGGTCCGGGGGAGGCAGGACCCTCTAATATTGACCGAGCGGCCGAGCCCGGCCCTGCGTGGAGGCGGCACTCGGACCTGCCGGCGGGGCCTGGTGGGGGGGGGGGTGAGGGCTCAGATCTCTCCGCTCCCCACGTGGAGAGGAGAAGTGAGAAGTGACATGGCCATCCTTGCTCCGTGCGGGAGGGACCCTCTCCTCTGGCTGCTGAGCGCTGAGGGGTCCGCACACGCCAGCAGCTTAAAGCTCCTAGTTGGGGGCCTGACACGTGTGCGAGGTTGGGGGGGGCGGGAGACAGGGCTGGGGTTGGGCACCTTGTGCACCCACTGACCCCGTGCCCACGCAGCCCCAGGGCAGTCCCCACGGGGGTCCCCACGGGGGTCCTGACTCACCTCACCCCCACCCCACCCCGCAGTACAAGCAGAACCAAACCTCACACCTCCCACACCACACCAGCCACCAATACTTCGTTTCTATACGTTTTATTTATTTATTTTTAAAATATATTTTATTGATTTTTTACAGAGAGGAAGAGAGGGATAGAGAATTAGAAACATCGATGAGAGAGAATCATCCATCAGTTGCCTCTTGCACACCCCCTACCGGGGATGTGCACGCAACCAAGGTACATGCCCTGGACCAGAATTGAACCTGGGACCTTTCAGTCCACAGGCCGACGCTCTATCCACTGAGCCAAACTGGTTTTGGCTTTATGTTTTATTTTTAAAATATGTTTTTATTGACTAGAGAGAGAGACACAGAGAGAGAGACATCGATCAGTTACTTCCTGCATGCCCCCTAATGGGGATGGAGCCTGCAACCTGGGCACATGCCCTTGTTGGGAACTGAATCCAACTCCTGGTCATGGGGTCGCTCGCCACGGAGCCGCCCGGCCGGGCAGTTTCTATGAGATTTCGATGGACAGTTTAGGCTCCGCCTGCACGTGGCTGTTTGGACCCGGCTTGTTGGCCCAATTGGGGTGTCCAGGCGCACAGGTGGACGGCTGGGGGCCTGGTGTGCTGACCTGTCCATCGGCCCAGGGCCAGCAGCTGGGGGCTGGGGTCTCTGACCCGTCCTGCTGCCGCCCGTGGAGACAGCGCCCCCACAAAGCCCTGCTCTCCTCCCCTCCTCCTCTCTGAGGAAGGAAGCGTCTTTCCCTTTCGCCATCAGCCCCTGCGGCTGCGGCTCCAGGGCCCCCGTGGGAGGGTGGCCTCCAGTCGCTCTGCCAAAAGCTTACCCGGTTCTCGTTGTGGCCACGGAATCCCGATCACCCCCCGAATAGACGGGGGGCGGGGGGGGGGTTGGGTAAGTGAGACAAAAGGCACCCGTCTCCTGCCAGCGCCTGGCACCCAGCGCCCGTCCTCCCCGTCAGGTGCTCCCCACAGGACGAGGCCCCTGAGCGGGGTGGGCGGAGCGGCACCCGCCTCTGTCTTTCCTCTAAAGCGAGCGTGTCAAACTCAAAGGCTCACACGGGCCACATTGACAAGGTTCACGTGGATGTGGGCGCAAAAAAAAAAAAAGAAAAAAAAGCTTCGGTTGTCATAGAAACGTAGGTTTATTCCGATAGAGACGAGCTGGATACAAAGGGCTGAAACAAATAAATCATCATTAACATAAACAGAACACGTCAATAGAAATTAAGATTCTTTCTTGAACATTCACTTACCAGACAGACACTGAATAACTGCGCAAATTAATACGCGTCACACAAATACACCTGTTTTCCTTGTTCCCTGAAAGCGAAATACTTCCTGTTGCGCACACCAACCGAGCCAGCCATCGGCTGCCGGAGCCTTCGCCGCGGTGTCGCGGCGGAGAAACGGTGCGCCTGCGCCTACGGCTTAAGGGGCATGAACGCAGCACGATTACAGTGACAGTCATTAGCGAACGTTGTAGTTCGTTATTAATAATCGTGTGTAACAGCCGAAGCCGGTTTGGCTCAGTGGATAGAGCGTCGGCCTGCGGACTGAAAGGTCCCAGGTTCGATTCCGGTCAAGGGCATGTACATTGGTTGCAGGCACATCCCCGGGAGGGGTTGTGCAAGAGGCAGCCGGTCGATGTTTCTCTCTCATCAATGTTTCTAGCTCTCTATCCCTCTCCCTTCCTCTCTGTAAAAATCAATAAAATATATTTTAATAAAAAAAAATAATCATGTGTAACAGGATGTAATAAAAATTAAGTTACTAATTTTAAAAGATATACATTTTTATTGATTTCAGAGAGGAAGGGAGAGAGAGAGAGAGAGAAACATCCATGAGGAGAGAGAATCATGGATTGGCTGCCTCCTGCACTCCCCAACGGGGATGGAACCCACAACCGGGCCTGTGCCCTGACCGGAACCGAACCTGGGGTCTTTCAGTCTGCGGGCCGATGCTCTAGCCACTGAGCCAGACCAGCTGAGGCCAGTGAGGCGGTTGTGAAGACGTTTCCTACATAACCGGCATCAGCTGGGCCGCGAGTTTGACATGCTGCTTGCTCTACCACCGAGGCCGGGCTCGTCCCCACGTGTGTGCGGTGGGGCTGCGAGTGACCGGAGCAGGGCGCCCGGTCACACGATGCGGCCCAGGTACACGGACGAGGGGTACTTGGCCTTCAGCGCCGGCCACTGCACCAGGAAGTAGTCGGCGAAGGGGCGCAGCAGGCGGCCGGTCAGCGACAGGTGCTCCACACGGCACAGGCTCTCCACGTAGACCAGGGTCACGCGCTTCACGCCCAGCACGCCCAGCAGCACGGCCGCCGCGCACACGGGCACGCAGGTCCCCGGCCCGTTGCACAGCACCTGCCACCGCGGGGGTTCGAGGGGGGGGAGAGACATGGCGTGAGACACAGGCACCCGACAGGGCGGTGACCCCACAGCCCAGGCAGGTGCCCTCGGCCAGAAACCGCACCCACACCCTGCGGGAGGCTGTTCCCCGCGCCGGCGGTGACACGGGGACCCCGAGAGGCTGGTGCGGTTCTGTCTGACGAGGAGGCTGCAGGGGGACTAGGACTCAGGGTCCCGCCCGGGCCGCCGCCCGCCTGGAACTGGTCTGAGCGAGGCCCTGTGCGCGCTGCGGCAGCCGAGCCCACGAGGACCCAGTGGGCCCTCCCTGGGCCGGTGCCGCTGGGCCCGGGTCTGCCCGGCAGGCAGTGATCCTGGCGGAGCCCAGCGCCCGGATGGTCACCGCAGCGACCTCTGCTTCCCGACCCGCCGCTGCCGCTGCGCGGAGGAAACGAACCCTGGCTTCCTGTCCCGGGCGACCTTTCCTTCCTCCCGCCTCCATTCCTTCCTCCCGCCTCCATGGTTCCCATTGTGTCTCCTGCCCGAGGCCTGGGCCCGGCGCCCGCCCCCCTGAGCCCACGCTGAGCCCCTCCCCGCAGCCTTGGAGCCTCCCGCCTGCCCTGGGCCCGGAGGGAAGGGAAGCACCTGACCTTGACAGGTCATAGCCACGCGCCGGGCACAGACTAAGGTGGCGTTTGTATGACCGTCTCCCTCCCCGGTGCTGTCCGCTCGCTGGCCACGCCCCCTCCCGTGGACGCCGAGGCAGAGGCCAGGGGCCCGTGGCCATGCAGCAGAGTCTGCCCGGCTCCCTGAGGACGCTGCCCGCTGCCCAGGAGCTCGGCTGGGACGGAGGGAGCGGTCCCCCAGCCCACGGAGGGGCATGGCACCAGTGCATGCGGCCGGGCTTCCTCCCCACGGCACCCCACCAGGCTCTCCCCGGTCAGAACCGGCTCCTGCGTTTCCCGGAAGGAGGGAGCTGTCAATGCGGCCGGGAGGCTGAAGGCAGTGAGGGCCTAGCCCAGTGGTCGGCACACTGCGGCTCTGTTGACTAATGAGTTTGCCGATCACTGGCCTAGACCGCTACCTACATGGCCATGGCTCTGGCAGGCAGGTGGGTGTGCGGAGCGTGGCTCTGGCAGGCAGGTGGGTGTGCAGGGAAGGGCAGCAGCTCCAAGGCCAGTGCACAAGCACACGGTCCCTCCCAGGGGGAGGGGAGGGGGGGGTCTGGTGAAACCACGTAACTGGAGGCCTGGACGGTGTGCACAGCCTCGCCGCCGGCTCCTGCACCCTCATTGCCCCGGTCTCCGGACTTCCTGCTCCCTGAGAGCTGAGCCAGGAGCAACTCAGAGAGGAGCAGCCGAGCGAGGAGCAGCTGAGCCAGGAGCAGCTCAGAGAGGAGCAGCCGAGCGAGGAGCAGTTGAGCCAGGAGCAGCTCAGAGAGGAGCAGCTGAGCGAGGAGCAGCTGAGCCAGGAGCAGCCGAGCGAGAGCATGGCCTAAGAGAGGGGCAGCAGCAGGCCCAGCCCCGAGCTGGCATTCTCCCCGCCCCCTCATCTCCACACACGACTCGTCCGCAGGCCCCTGTGGGGCCAGCAAACCCTCAGGAAAGCAGCACCTGGACCTGCCGCCGGGCCGGGCCACCCTGACCCACGTGGCCACCCGGCTGCCGGGAGCCGGCCTCCTGAGGCCACAGAGCAAACCTGTCCTACAGGCTGCGGCTGTGAACACTTCAAACTGCCTCGCCAGAGCCCGGCCGGGTCAGCGGGCGCCAGCAGGGCGGCCAGGAGGGATGCTGTTTGCTAAGGAATGGGACTCGTGACCCCCCTTTCCTCTCCCCCCCCCCCCGAAAATTTCCTTCCTGGCCATGGACTCTGCCTGAGGCCTTAGCCCGGGAGCGTGGGGCTGCCTCACCGTGGGCAGCGCCAGGCCAGGCTCTGACCGGCTCCCACCCCCCACCCCCCGCCCCCGGTCCCGAGAGCCACGCGCGCTCTGCTCTGCAGAGGCGCCCTCGCCTGCCACGCGTGGCCGTGGCCGTGGCCGTTCTGCAGTGTGTGCCACGTGTCGGGGAACATGGAGTCTGCAGCTGGCCTGCGGGTCCCGGAGGCACTGGGACCCCGGGCTCCCCGCACAGAAGGGCCGTCCTGCAGCTGACGGAGGAGCCGTGACCATGACCGTGACCGGGCTTCAGTCCCAGCAGGATCGTCCCCCACGGCTGGGGGGGCGGGAAGGACGGGCGGACGTGGAGACGGCGTGGCCCAGAGGCGGTCAGGAAGCACCGCTGCAGCGTTAGAACGAAGTGAAACGGACCTCCGGGCTGGCCCATGGGCACATTCGTCTCCGTGACAACACGGCCCCCGTCACCCCCGAGGGCTGCCGACGTGCTCGCTCAGAACCTGCCGCCAGCAGCGCCTGGCTGGCCCCCAGGGACGGCCGGCCGGGTGGAGGTGACCGGGCGGTTACGCAACGTGCCTTCCTCCCCCCCTCTTTCCTCCCCACCTCTGCCCTCCTCGTGCACTCACCCCGCACACCCCGGCCAGGACTGCAGGCCGAGGCCCCGGGGCACCCAGGCTCCCAGCTCCCATCCCTCCGGCGGCCTCGGAGCCCCTCCCCCCCCAGCGCCCTGTGCAGCCCCTTCCTTTCTGTCCGCCCCCAGGCCAAACGGGGGTGGAGAAGCCAAGCCAACGCCCTGGTTGATTCAGAGGCTGTGAGAGCAGAGCCAGACCCCTCAGCACCAGCACGGGGTTCGGGGCCTCAGGCGGGGCTGCCGCCGGCTGGGCCTTTGAACTTCAGTGCCTCAAAGCCTCCCTTCTCTCCGCTCCGCCCCAGCCCTGCCCGCCGCCCAGGGCAGTCCCCAGCTCCCCGCGGCGCTGCCCGCAGCCCTGAAAGCAGCCTTGTTCCCGTGGCCTTCCGCTCACCTCCCTCCCGCTCACCTCCCTCCCGTGAGGAAGAGGCCCCTGCCGCCTGCGGCCGCAGCTCGAGGGGAAGCGAAGGGACGGGCCGAGGGACAGAGCGCCGAGGGGGGCGAGGAGAGAGACCCGTGTTCAGGCTCTGGGGGGCCCCCCGCGTGGAGAAACCCAGCCACTGGAGCGCACTCTCCCGGACAAGCAGCCTGCCCTCCGCTCGGCTGGGCCGGGGCCACGGAGAGCGGGCAGCGGGGGCATCGCCCGGGGGCCGGGACTGGCTCAGAACCGCGTCTCCTGTGGCCCGGCCTCCGTGGGACACGCGGCACGCTCACTCACGCAGGCTGCTGGACGGCGAGCGTGAGTGCGGAGGGACCAGGGCGCGGCCTGATTGCTCCCGCTGACTCGCTGGGCCTCATGCCCCGGCGCCCCGGTGGGGGGCCCCGGTCGGCGGCCACTCCTCCGTCGCCGAGCGTCCTCTGCGCGTGGCCGAGGTGACCCCGGTGCGGGCCCCTCCCCCGAGCGTCACGCCCGCTCGGGCGGAGGGCGTGCACCAGGCTCCGGCTTATCACCAGCAGGTGATCGGCGCCCGGCACGTGCCGATCCACAGGCCGATAGAACTCGGTAAACTACGCAAACAGGGCCCGGAGCCGCCGGCGGCTCACCACAGAAAACAGCCTTTCCGCTGGCTCAGGGGCTGAGCGCCGACCTCTGGACACAAGGTCACGGTTCCATTCCGGGTCAGGGCACAGCCTGGGCTGTGGGCTCCATCCCCCGTGGGGGCCGTGCAGGAGCAGCCGGTCCGTGATTCTCTCTCACAGCGGATGTCTCTCCCCCCTCTCCTTTCCTCTCGGACATCCATGAAATGTGTTTTAAAAAGTCAGCCTCCCGGCTGCGGACAGGAGCCCACGCTCCACGTGGACCGGCGGCTGGTGAACGTGGACCTTTCCCGGCTCACTCTGGGAGGAGGCGTGGGAATCGGGCAAGTGACATACTGGGCGTCTTTCATGAGGCCGAGTGAGCATGCCCGGTGAGGCCCGCACACAGGGGGCCCCCCTGCCCCCCATGCCCGCAGCCTCTCACTGACCCCGCACTCGGGGGAGATCAGTCCTCTCATCCCCGTGCAGAGCCCTGCTGAGTGCTTCATCAGCACGGCCAGCGGCCCCACAGCCGGAGCCGGGAGCCGGCCGGCTGGCTCTTCAGGCTCTTCCGCTGCCCCCCGCCCCTGCCCCGGGCCGTCCGGCGTGGGCGAGGGCGTCTTTGTTTCGGTGGTGACTCACCCTGTTCACTCACTCCCTTTCAAGTCACCCCACAAGCCTGCGGGGCGCTTTTCCAGGAAAGCCGTGGGAAACCAAGATGCTGGCGTGCTCGCCGCGGTGACGGGAACCCAGCGGCGGCCGCGGGCTCCGCAGGGAGCGAGGTTCCTTCCCCGATGGGTCCGACGCCCCAGCGGGGCCCGCGTGCCTCACGCCCGGAGACCAGTTTACACCTGCACGCGGCTCCCGGGCTCCCACCCCGGCAGCGGCGAGGGCGGAGAGCACGGAAACCAGCGCCCGCTCAGAGCTCCTGGGCCACGCGGGCTCCTGTCCGCACGCAGCGGGGGCTCCGCCGGGCGGGCGGGCGTCCGGGGTGGCCTCTCCCGGGATGGCTGGCCCTGCCCCGCGCTGCCCGTCGGCGCTGCCCCTGCCGGGCGCTGGGCGCTTCCTCTGAAGGCCTCGGCCCGGCCTGCCCGCCGGCGGGGCCCGCACAGGCCCTCCCTGCCCGCCGTGTCCGCTCCGCGTCCATTTCCCAGGGAAACACCCGTGTGTGACCGCTGGCCGCACCCCACGCTCGCTCACCGTCTCGGCAAACACGGGGCTGAGGAGGAGGCACAGAGCCCGGCTCTCCCCGGCGGCTGAGCCCACGGCGGCCCGGAGCCACAGGGGGCAGGGGCCTTGGCTCGTTAGACACTCGGACCCGGGGGAGGGCTCAGTGGAGTTCACGGCGGCCGGACACGCAGGGCCCCGTCCGTGTGCACTCGGCCAGCCCCGGGCAGGGACGGGGGGAGGGCGGCGTACGTACCAGGTCCGGCCGCACGCGGAAGGTGAGCGGCAGGGAGAGGCAGGCGGCGTGCAGCGTGGTGAGCACCGTGGACAGCCAGGACTGCCGGACCTCGCGGCTCCGGGGGATGCGGTGCAGGAAGTACCGGGGCGCCTGGGAGCACAGACCCCGACCAGCGACCTCTCAGCCAGACCCGCTCGGCACAGGCAGGCCCTCCCGCTGCGGAGCCTGAGGCCTGGGTGGGGGTGCCCGGGTGAGGGTGCCCGGGCGAGGGTGCCTGGGTGAGGGGTTCCTAGATGAGGGGGTGCCTGGGTGAGGGGTGCCTGGGTGAGGGGTTCCTAGATGAGGGGGTGCCTGGGTGAGGGGTGCCTGGGTGAGGGGTTCCTAGATGAGGGGGTGCCTGGTGAGGGGTGCCTGCACTGGGTCAGCAGGGAGCGCCAGCCTGATTCGCAACGCGGGGTCCGCGCGCCCCCTGGTGGCGACAGCGGGTGCTGCCGGTGGAGGCGGGTCCCGTCCCTTCCGGAGCCCTTGGCTGAGGGCCCATCTCCCCGCCTCTCCCCACTGAGGCCGCAGAGCCGGCCACATCCACGGGAGCCTTTGCGGCCGGAGAGCAAGCCCGAGGGACCCAGGCTGCTTCCGAAGGCGCGGAGCCGCGAACGCACGTGGCGAAAGCGGGTCTTGGTGGTGAGCACATGAACACAGTGTGTTCCCGCACGTCTGTTAACGTGTCATTCCCATCGGAGCCGCTGTCCACCTACTGTGTGCACACTCCGCACCACCCGGCCTCCTGTGTGCACACTCCATGCCATCCGGCCTACTGTGTGCCCAGCTCCACCTGGCCTCCTGTGTGCACACTCCATGCCATCCGGCCTACTGTGTGCACACTCCATGCCATCCGGCCTACTGTGTGCACAGCTTCACCTGGCCTACTGTGTGCACACTCCACGCCACCCGGCCTCCTGTGTGCACACTCCATGCCATCCGGCCTCCGGTGTGCACACTCCACACCACCCGGCCTCCTGTGTGCACAGCTCCACCCGGCCTACTGTGTGCACACTCCACGCCACCCGGCCTACTGTGTGCCCAGCTCCAACCACCCGGCCTCCTGTGTGCACAGCTCCATGCCACCACGTCCAGGCTGCCCTCCCACCTCCCGCTCGCTGCGCGCGCCCCCTGGTGGCGGTGGGCGGGATGCGGGCGAGGGCTGGGAGTAGGAGCGGAGCCCTCGGAGCCCTCACCTGCGGGCCTGGCAGGCATCTCTGGGCGGAGGGACCTGTTCGGTGGGGAGAGGGGCGAACAGGGGGAGAGAGGTGCGGAGCGCCCAGGTCAGGGAGGGCGCCCGTTCTCACCACCACTCCGACCACGGGCCCAGGGCTCTGCTTGCCTCCTCTCTCCTTCGCGTCCCACACCGTCCGTCTGGGAATTCCATTTCCTCTCCTTTCACATCCACCTGCTGCCCCGTGCCCGTCCCCACGGTGCCGGCCTCCCCGCTCTCCCCGTGTGCCCAGCCTCCGTGCGACACGGCAGCCCTGGTCTGTCTGAAAGGCAGGCGGGCCGTGCCCCCCAGGAGCCGGCCTCCAGCCACGCTGACTGTGCAGGAGCCCTGCCCTCCGGAGGGCCAGGGGAGTCAGGGAGCCGGCCTCGGGGGGGACGGGGTCCCCCTCTCCCACTTTGGTTCTGGTTGGTGACCGGGACACACCGGGAAACCCTCCTGCCGGACACAGACTAAAGGCTGTAAGAAGGACACATGTATGTGTGTGCATGTGTTTGTCTGAATGGGAGCCAGGACAGGAGGTGCCGGGACCGGGCTGGGTCTCACCGCCCTGCAGGTTCGGGAGGCCACGGCTGACGGCCGGTGACAGACACGCCCCGTCCGGGAGAGGCAGTGCGTGGGGCTCCGGCCGCTCGCTCATCTACTTTCGAACACTCGTGTCCCTGGTGAGCTCTCCCACTTCCTCACCCCCCACCCCGCCCCTCCTCGCGGACATGGAGGGCAGCTCACCCTCTGCCCCTCATCCTTCTCCCCCACCTGCACCTTCACGGACCTGCCCTGATTGTTAACAAGTTAAACTCAAATGTACGATTGGAAACTTTCTTAGGAATAGACGTGGTCACTTACCACCTCGCTGGGGTCTCTATCAGCTCGACTGAGCTCAAAGGCGTGTATCTTCCGGGCACTGATCTCGTCTGTGTCGGCGAGGACGTAGTGTCTGGGCGCGTAGGCGGCGGACAGGTGCCCCAGCAGCCTCAGCAGCTCAGTGGTGTGCCCACCTGGGGAGGGGGTGGAGGCTTTAGGCGGAGAGACGGCAGGGGCGCGTCTGTCTGACGGTTACACGAAGGCACCAGCCCGTGCGTTTCCCAACGGCAGACGGAAGGGCTGGGAACAGAGGTGGTGCCTTTGTGGTGTGAAAGGACTGCCATGCGGGGAGGAGAACAAACGTGTGAAAATAAACTCAGCACTCGCAGATTCTATTCCTAAACGGACACAGGGTGTGCGGTGTGTCTCTGCGGAGCTGTCACTCGAGATCGGAGCGCCTTGCAGGGCCGGGGACCCATCTACACGGGTCGCCGGGCGGGCAGGATGGCCTGTTGCTGTGCCTGCGGCGGAATGTCCTCAGTGCGGCTGTGCCACGGGTGCTGGGTAATGGTTTCCTCCTCGTGGGCTTGGTGTGTGTATAAATATGACCGTCCACCGCATCTCATCTATCATGAGTCCTTAGCCAAACACCAAATGCCTAGATTAATCACGAAACCCAGCAGTTTATTACTCAGGAAAATTGCAGGTCAGCATCAAAGGGCTTCGGCGTCCTCTCTGCTCACTAATAATTTATTAGAAAGCTGCACGCTGCGGAGGGGCTTAATTACTGACCCGTGCAAGGTACTCATTTGCCATTAAAGTCACGGCCCGGAAGCGCCGGCCCAACTGCCTAGAGCCTGGCAGGGGGCTGGTTCCGGGGACGCAAAGAGACTACAGCTCCCAGGATGCAGTGCGCACAAAGCGCGGAGGAGACCCAGGGACGGCGTCGCAGTGCAGTCCGGGGTTTGTGGTCCCGCCCCGTACTTACCGGACCCGGCCACCGCCATGAGACTGACAGATTCCCGGGGTACAACAACCCGGGAGTGAAGCACGAGCCACAGCCGCAGGGCCAGGGCCACTGCCGCCGCTCCTGCGGCCGCCGCGAGGACAAGGACGCACCCCATTCAACGGAACTGCGCATGCGCGCTGCCCTCCGGCAGCCCAGGGGAGCGGTCAAAGTTCAGCAGCTACGGGCCCTGAGGAGACTCAAACCGGCCTGTGCAACGTCATGCTGGGCGGGGCTCCGGTCCGGAAGCGGAAGTCCGACCTCTGAGGACTGTGGATGCGGCGTGGCCACCGCGAGAACGGAAGCCCTTATCCGGAAGTTAAGCGCCGGAGAAGATGCATTTCCGCCCTCGGTGAGGTCAGGCCACCTGCGTGCCCTGAGTTAGCCAGGGCTCCCCGCTCCACCAACTTAGCGAATCCCCCGTGAGCCCCAGCGGCACACAACGCTTTTGATTTTCGTTTTTAAATGCCAGGGGAAGTGTTTCTGTTGCACACGCAGGCATTTACTGGAAGTGTTCGCCAGTGAGAGGTCCTTTGGGACAAAGGATTCAGGGCCCTCATCCTGACATCGCCCCAATGCTAATAGGAGTCCCCAGATTGGGTGCAGTAAAAGGAGAGACTTTATTCAGGTAAACAGCTTGCAAACCTGGGAAACAGCCTCCGAAGGCAACCATAAGCGTGCTCCTGGAGGCAAAGGGGAGGCTGCTTTTCATAGAGAAAGTACTGCCCTGGTTCCTGATTGGTCCACTTTTATGCAAATGAGAAACTAAAATTTGCACAGCGTGATTGGTCAAGTTAGTACTTATCCCTATTGGTTGGGATCATGGGTTCGGTTGGTTGTTATGGAGCTTCTCTGATTGGTCTGCTCAGTAAAGATGCAAATCTATCTATAATAATAAAAGCATAATATGCAAATAGACCGATTGGCCAAACTGCAGAACAACCATCCTGACGACCACACTCTTGACAGGCACTGGTACCAGGCCAGCACCGTGCTGGTGCTGAGAGGTCTGGCTCTGCTCTCACAGCCTCTGAATCAACCAGGGTCTGCCTCAGACCAGACGTTCAGTCTCCTTTTAAGACACCATCCCAGTGGGCCGTGCCACCCCCGTCACCCTCGTTCCCGACCCGGCCCAGCCGCTGCCGCGCCTGCTCGGCGGTGTCTGCGTTTCCCTTCAGACCGAGAACTCAGTCCCGCTCCCGCCCAGCCGGGCTCCTCCCCGACCCGGAGTGACTGTCCACAGCCAGCCGCAGCGGTCCGGCCACTTTTCCCCCATCACGTCCGCCCCTTCTCACTCTCCTGCCGCCACGGCTGTGTCCACACACACACACAGACACACACAGACACACACACACACACAGACACACACAACGGCCCGGGCCTGGCTGGCGTGCTCAGGGGATGGGCACTGACTTGAGAACCAGGAGGTCAATAAGAATATAATTAAAAAAGGAAAGAAACACGCACATTGCGTTTTCACTCCTCGCTGACTAGACACCACCCTCGACTCTGTGTGATGGACGCAAACCCCGGCAAACCCGCGGCCCTCCGGTGCCCGCCGCCCCCGCCCCCGCCCGTCCCAGGAGGCACTGCCTCTGCCTCAGCCGCCTCCCTGACCCCGGTGCCCTCGGCCTCTCCTCGCCCGCCTGCAGGTGAGGAGCCCGAGGCTCTGCCGCGCCGACCGCCTCGCTGGCGCCGTGACCGGACTCGCCGTGGCCACCGTGGCCCCCGCGTGGCTCGGAGCCCTGAGGATGTCGCTCAGGGAAGAAGGCACCGCGGGCGGAGAGCACGGCGCGAACCGGCGCTGAGCCCACGGGGCGCACGGACCGGCCCCTCAAGGTCAGTGCCGCGCCCGGGGGGTCGCCCTGCGGCAGCGGGCGCTTCTCGCCGCGTCCCCGTCCCCGGGGTGATGTCCCCGCTCAACTTTCACCGCCACGGGGTGCCCTCTGCTCGTCGGCATCCTCCTCGATTCTTTTCTCTATTTTTTAAAACATATTTTATTGATTTTTTTTTTTTTTTTTACAGAGAGGAAGGGAGAGAAATGGTTAGAAACATCGATGAGAGAGTCATCGATCCGCTGCCTCCTGCACGCCCCCTACTGGGGATGGAGCTCACAACCCGGGCCTGTGCCCTGACCAGAATCGAACCCTGACCTCCTGGCTCAGAGGTCGCCATTCAGCCACTCAGCCACGCCGGCCGGGCGTCCTTCCTCCGTCTGTCCACTTCGCGCTGGACGGGCGTTTCTGCCAGAAGCCTCTGGCTGTCCTTAGCAGCCCCGTCTCCGTCTCCGTCTCAGCCCTTGGGCCGTGCTGGCTGTCAGCGTGTGGGGGAGGGAGACGCCAGCCTGCAAAGCCGGCTCTTTGACACGCTGGGTCCACATGCCCCGGGGACGGAGGCTGGCGCTCACCTCCGAGGGGTACGGGAGGGCGGTGAACCCTGCACAGCCTCTGTGGCCCGCCCGCTCCTCCCTCCGGCGTGGCCTCCCCGGCCTCCATCCTGAGCCCGCGAAGCTCCAGCCAGGCTCCCCGTTAACAACAGGGGAGCGGGGAGACCGCCCGCCGGCAGCTCAGTGCGGCGCTGGGCCTCCCCCTCCCCTCCGCCAGGGTGTTTTTATTGAATTGTACACTTTATTTTTTCCCCATTTTTTTTTTAAAAATATATTTTTATTGATTTTTCACAGAGAGGAAGAGAGAGGGATAGAGAGCTAGAAATGTCGATTAGAGAGAATCATCGACCAGCTGCCTCTTGCACACCCCCTACTGGGGATGTGCCCGCAACCAAGGTACATGCCCTTGACCGGAATCGAACCCGGGACCTTTCAGTCCGCAGACCGACGCTCTACCACTGAGCCAAACCGGTGCCGGCTTTTTTTCCCCCCCATTTTTAATTAAGGTATTATACGTGTACATATCTTACCACTGCCCCCTCCCCGCTCCCATACGTGCCCCCTCCCTCCCCCCGAGTTTTGCGTCCATTGGCTGTGCTGACACTCATGCACACAAGTCCTTCGGTCGATCTCTTACCCCCCCCCCCCCCCCCCCGCCTTTCCGCTCGCTGCCTCTCTCAGGCCACTGAGGCGTCTGGGGCACAGAGCGACGCCCCTCTCAGACGTGGCCGCTGGCCATCTGACCCTGCGGCCGGGCGCAGGGCGACCCTCAGTGTGGGAGGAGGCATGGCCCCAGCCCTGCAGGGGCCAGGGGTGAGGGACACAGGCCGTGGGTAGGATGACCCCGTCCGGCGGACACTGGGTCCTCGCACTATGCCGCCGAAGGGTGCCTGGGTGCCTGAGCGCCGAGTTCCTTCCAACGCCAGCAGACCCTCCCCTGACGCTCGCAGCTCCAGGAGCCGGGAGGGCTGCCCCCTGCAGGCAGCCTTCCCCGTTGGCCCAGGGGAGGCAGAGAACGGGAACGTAAAGGGGTGAGGTGATGCCAGGCATGCGGGGAGGAGGCTGCACCTGAGCAGCGGGGGCTTCCCCCGGGCAGTGGGAAGCCGCTCCGCGCTCACACGGGGAGAGGCGCTCAGACGAGGCGGCAGCGGCGGGGACAGCAGGCCGGAAGGACGCCCGGCCGGCCGGCCGGCGCTGATTTTGTACCCGAGGTTTCCTGGAGCCCAGCCAGGCCCCCCTCTCCCAGAGAGCGCCTGCCCGCAGGGCCGGAGGCGCTTGGGGGCAGAGGGGCTGCGGGCGAGGGGGCGGCCGAGCTGGCCTGTGGCCTGGGGCGAGACCAGCGAGTTCGAGCTGGGAGCCGGTGCCACGTGGAGGAGGGCATGGAGCATGGGACGCAGGTGTGGGCGGGGACCACGAGGAGACTGTTTATCCAGAGGAGACTGTTTCTCAGCCCATTACACAACGCAGCCCGCCCCCTCCGTGGTGCCGCTCACGCCGCTGGGCCGGGCATTGCCGGGCTGGGCATTGCCGGGGAGGGCTTGCCAGGGAGGGCATTGCCGGGGAGGGCTTGCCAGGGAGGGCATTGCCGGGGAGGGCATTGCCGGGCTGGGCATTGCCGGGGAGGGCATTGCTGGGCTGGGCATTGCTGGGGAGGGCATTGCCGGGGAGGGCATTGCCGGGGAGGGCATTGCCGGAATGGGTATTGCCGGGGAGGGCATTGCCGGATGGGTATTGCCGGGGAGGGCATTGCCGGGCTGGGCATTGCCGGGGAGGGCATTGCCGGGCTGGGCATTGCCAGGGAGGGCATTGCCGGGGAGGGCATTGCCGGGCTGGGCATTGCCGGGGAGGGCGTTGCCGGGCTGGGCATTGCCGGGGAGGGCATTGCCGGGCTGGGCATTGCCGGGGAGGGCGTTGCCGGGGAGGGCATTGCCGGGCGCTGCGCCGTGGGCTCGGTCCTGCTGCTGCTGTCTCCACTGTGCTGCCTGACCCTCCCCCAACCCACCACCATTCCGGTTGATCTTCCCGGCCTCCTCTCGTCCACAGCCTCACTCTCCCCTCGGGGTGCCCGTGGCAGGTCAGGCAGCAGGAGGCTCGCTGAAGATTTGGACGACATGAGGGGAGTTGTACCATTTAAAACGTATGGAGGGCCCAGCCAGTGTGGCTCAGTTGGTTGAGTGTTGACCTGTGAACCAGGAGGTCACGGTTCATTCCTGGTCAGGGCACCTGCCCAGCTTGCAGGCTCGACCCCCAGTAGGGGGTGTGCAGGAGGCAGCCGATCTGTGATTTTCTCTCATCATTGATGTTTCTCTCTCTCTCTCTCTCTCTCTCTCTCTCTCTCTCTCTCCCCCCCCCCACCCCCTTTTTCTTCCTTTCTGAAATCAATAAAATATATCTTTAAGAAAGTAACAGTATGGCCAAAACCGGTTTGGCTCAGTGGATAGAGCGTCGGCCTGCGGACTGAAGGGTCCCAGGTTCGATTCTGGTCAAGGACATGGACTTTGGTTGCAGGCACGTTCCCGGTGGGGTGTGTGCAGGAGGCAGCTGATCGATGTTTCTCTCTCATCGACGTTTCTAACTCTCTATCCCTCTCTCTTCCTCTCTGCAAAAAATCAATAAAATATATTAAAAAAAAGAAAGAAAGAAAAGAAAGTAACAGTATGGAGGTGTGCGGCCCAGGTGCTCTGCCTCCTGTCCCTCCTCTCTCCCCTCTGCTCCTCCCCCCCCCCCACGCC